CGGTGCATGGATTTATGAAACACATGTGCATCTCTGTGCTAGGAAAACATGGACCTGCATGAGGCCCCCAGCAAAGCGCACCTTGTGAATGAGCCCTAAATATAATTTTTAATAAAAATGATGCTACTTTTTTAGACCACTGTGTCAGTTAAACTTTAGTGGCTTATTGCGGCTTAATTGCAAATAGCACCTATGCTGTGGCAGAGTATTCACAAGCAACAAATTATTTCTATAAGTAGAACTGTTGCACAGACAAGTAGTTCTCCTGATCATTTCTTAATTTAGTGCAAAGATACTGTCTGTACCTTTCTGCTGCTGTTGTCCCCTGGCCATCTTTCCACTCAATCATTATCCTCCTCTCCCGGCCATCTTCATCTGACCCCAATCAGAATGCTCTTCTCCCAGGCCAGCTTCTCCTTGCAGCTTGATCCCCTCTCTGTCCTCTCAATCTCTTTTAACTCAGAATCATGCCCCCTCTCATGATCTTCCACTGATGTGGCAGCCCTTATTTTATTATTATTACAGGTACTTATATAGTGCCATCAGTTTTCACAGTGCTCTACATATATATTGTACATTCACATCAGTCCCTAACCCTCAAGGAGCTTACAATCTAAAGTTCCTAAAGTTAACTTAGTAGTAGTCCGTTACTTCACGTGAAATGCATGGTGTCAGGCTTCTATTCACAAAAAAGTCCTTCCTGTTGAGGTGGTGGTGAACAACATTCTGGGTGAGGTTGGGAAGATTCGGGGTCTTGAGAAGGATGGGTGGCAGCCTGGACAAAGGCGTGGAGGAATGTAAGGTCCCCATAGCTGCTGTCAATCTCTGGGGGCATGGCTTCTCTTTCTGTCCTTTCCCGTCCCCTAGATGTTTGTAAGATTAGATTTTTGAAAAAAGGCTGCATGCATGGGATAAATGTTTAATCGTTTCTTAGCCTGACGGGGTGTTTAGGTGAAGGTCGGGTTTGCTGCGATACATTAGAAAGATGATAATAATGGTAAAATATGATTTGTTCTGTTTATGTTTTTCCCAGCAAAAAAAGAAAAAACCGTTTCCGGTTTTCTATGCTGAAGTAAGCTATTTTTGTTTAATTATATATATTTATTTTATTCTGTATATATGTAAATATTTTTTTTTATTATGTTGTTTGTTTGTAAGATTTTTTAATAAACAAAAATTTACAATCTAAAGTCCCTAACACACATTCATACATACACATACTAGGGCCAGTTTAGACAGGATCCATTTAACCTACCAGCATGTCTTTGGAGTGTGGGAGGAAACCCACGCAAGCACAAGGAGAACATGCAAACTCCAGGCGGGTGGCGCCATGGTTAGGATTCAAACCAATGACTGCCAGGTGGAAGTGCTAACCATTTAGCCACTGGGCTGCCACACTTTGATCTCTGTCTGCAGTTCAAAGCCCAATCTGACACATTGCCTGTAGCCCGATCTATGGCCAATATTAGTGCAGCACTATCCCACAGATGATGCTTGAATTTGGGGTCTACTGTCTCTTCCATTGGTGACCCACTCCCATAATTAAATCTGACAACTCAATGACACACCAGTAATGATAAAATTGGCTTAGGGTACTTTCACATGGGCATTCCGTTTTTTTTATTCAGTTCAGTCATGTTTTTCAAAGAAAAAATGGATGAGTTTACATTGGTTTACATCCGGTTTTCATCTGTTTAGATCTGTGTACATCTGTTTTTCATCTGTTTACATCCGTTTTTGGTCTGTTTACATCCATTTACATCCGTTTTTCATCTATTCCTTTTTTTTGTGGAAGAAAAATAGGGTTTTCTTCCATTCAAAAAAACAGATGTTAATGGATGCAGACATTAACAGATGTAAAAAGATGTTCATCCATTTATTTCTGCAAGTCCATACAAATATATGGGAGTCCGTTTTTTATCCAAAAACGGACATACGGAACGCCCGTGTGAAAGGGGCCTTTGGGCTTATTCCTGCTTAAAACAAAACTTAACTGCACCTGAGCACCACAAACCAGAAACACTATTTGATTCATTTTTAATATTCAAAGCAAACTCCCTCATCCATCCACATCGCCATGCCTTATTCTATTTATTTATTTCAGGTACTTATATAGCGCCATCAATTTACACAGCACCTTACATATATATTGTACATTCACATCAGTCCCTAACCCTCAGGGGCGTACAATCTAAGGTCCCTAACTCACATTCATACATACACATACTAGGGCCAATTTAGACAGGAGCCAATTCACCTACCAGCATGTCTTTGGAGTGTGTGAGGAAACCGGAGTACCCGGAGGAAACCCACGCAGGCACAGGGAGAACATGCAAACTCCAGGCAGGTGATGCCGTGGCTGAGATTCGAACCATATTTTGTTGAGAAATCTCTTTAAAAAACACCTTCCTAGCATTTCTAGTCATGGCCATCTGTTTGGAGGTAGACACAGCAGGTGCACCAGCAGGGTAGAGCCTACGTGATGTATGACGTCACCATGCAAAGTACCACGGTGAGGTTTTCGGATCTGGCTTCTAACATTTTAAATATGTACTGTATACAGGGGCGGACTGACAACTCATGGGGCCCCCAGGCAATAGGGGATCATGGGGCCCCTGTGTCCTTGCCCAAACTCAAAAAAGCCTATGAAAAAGGTACCAGGGGCATCTCATGGGGCCCCCTACTGACCCCGGGGCCCTCGGGCTGTGCCCAAGTTTCCAAATGGTCAGTCCGCCCCTGACTGTATATCTGCTTTTATTTATCATGTGAGTGAACTATTTTTATTTTGATAAATTCTATCCCTTCATACTACACTATGAAACTGTTCATTTCCATATCTTTTATGAGTGGAGCATCTATCTGAGATGGATATCTGTGGACCACTGATGACGATTACCGTGGATTGTTGTTTAAAAGTACTATTTGACCACTTACTTCAAGAGGATCAATACCTTCTGGTAAGGAGCTTATGTTACTCACTGTTGGTGGATTTTGGGTGAATACTCCTGCACAGATGATTTCCCTTTGGTCACTTTACGGTTTGGAGGTATCCATACCTTTTGCTTTTATGTTCATCATACTTTGGATGGGCTGATTTGTAAAGGGTCTTACTTGACATTTTTTTTTTCCTTTTCAGAGGGAGGAAACTGTTAGGTCTTAAGTTTTTATTGCTGTCTTTATCAACACTGGGGAGATTCACTTTCTATTTGTTCTGTCTTGAAATAGAAATTAAAGGGAAATCCAAAATGTTAGACTTGTCACAAGGAAAGAGGTAAGGGTAAAAATGACCATAAAAGAATCCTTTTTTTTTTTGATCAGCGAACTCTAGTTTGGCCACACCTTGAGTATGTTGTCCAGTTCTAGTCACCAGTCTCTAGGAAGGATGTGCTGGAACTGGAGAGAGTTCAGAGAAGAGCAACAAAGCTAATAAGGAGGCTGGAGGATCTCAGTTGTGAGGAATGTCTGCAATCATTAAATGTATTCACCAGAGAAAAAGTGCTTAAGAGGTGACATGATTAAGCTACTCTATTAGAAATTTAACCCCTTCTCGCTGACGTAACACAAATATGCGGCCTCACAGAACTGGACTTTTTTCCGTGGGGCAGCATATTTGCGTACCTGTCTTTATGCCGCACAGCGCTCTCCCAGCACAAAGAATGGGGTGTCACTAAGAGCCCTGGGTCCCGTTCTAACAATCAGGACCGGAGACTCCCGATTCCAGGGCACATGATCGCTGTGATAGCCTCTCATTGGCTATCACACTGATCAGTCACTGTAAAGCCCGCCCCCCCCCCTTGATTTTTTTATCTCTCAATGTAGGAGAGAGATACATTGTATTTCTCTCTCCTTGCAGAGAGGGAAAAAAAAACTGTTTGTAAAAACAAAAAAAAAAAAAAAAGGTAAAGAAAAAAAATAAAGAAAAATACCTAGATCAAGATTTGATCTAGTTCAGTGCTAGGGTGTTTGGGTCAAGGTCAGGGTCAAAGCCAAAGTTCAGGGTTTTTTTGTTTTTTTAATTGGTATCAATTAGTGTCAGTGTGTTTTAGGTAAAAAAAAAAAATGCGTACTATTGTTTCTGGGCTGTAGTACAGGTACAGACAACAAATAACATACACATATATGGTATCACTGCGTTCATGAAGAGCTGGAAAATTTTATTTTGGGTTGTTCTTTGGTGGTAGGTTATGGTAGTAACAAGAAACACACAGCTAAATTTAAAAAAATGGGGGTTTTTTTACTATTTTGGGCCAGTTTTCCTTTGATAAAAACAAAATCAGCAGATATCCATTACCATTTACCACCAAATGAAAGCCCAATTTGTCCTGCAAAAAACCAAAGTATAATCCACCTGGATGTAAAAGAAGTAGTTGTGATGATATGTCTGGTTTTACTAACAAATGTCAAAGTTGTAAAATTTTACTTAGGCTTGTTTTACCCTTAGGCATGAAGGGGTTAAAAGAGAAAATAAAAACCAAAAAACGTTTGGCTATACAAAAACTTGAAGAGGTTTAATAACATCGTACTCCAAAATATACCACTAGATGGCAGGCAAGCTCCATCATTGCAGAGAACTGTTGCAGTTTCACCATTTCAATGGAATAGGAATTTACTGTAACGTCACTAAACACAGCATTGTCACTAAATAGACAAAGAAAAAATATATCAAATTCAATACCACCATTTATTGATACATTTGTACCGTTTAAATAGTAGCATCTGTCGACACATCCTCAAATCTGAATTTAAAGCGTGGATAGATCCAGCAATCCAGTAGACCGGCCAGGTGACTAGCCTGCCATCCCAGAGCCATCCCAGAGCCTCAGAGGACAATTCAGAGTGACTACTTGTAAAGTTGAAGCTGTAGTAGGGAGCAAGAGCCAAGAGCATGACCCATTCAAGTGAGGTCACTCTGCAGGTGCTCTGCAGCCTTCTGCAGTACAGCAAACAAGGGGTTAAGGTGTGTTCATTTCTCACCACCTGCTTTAACCCCTTGGACCCAGCAGAAGCATGCAGTTACGGGCAGGGGCGGACTGACAACTCATGGGGCCCCCGGGTAATAGGGGATCATGGGGCCCCTGTGTCCTTGCCCAAACTCAAAAAAGCCTATGAAAAAGGTACCAGGGGCATCTCATGGGGCCCCTACTGACCCCGGGCCCTCGGGCAGTGCCCGAGTTTCCAAATGGTCAGTCCGCCCCTGGTTATGGGGCACTTGCAGAGTGGCCCCATTTACTTGAATGGGTCTGATCGGCAGGTGGTAGCACCCACCAAAAGCAACAGGGGGTGTGATTCCTTCTGCGGCATGTGTACACCTTTGGCTGCTATCTCAGCAGCTAAAGAGGGCAAGGTTTGGGAGTGGTAAAACCTTGACTCAACCGCAGGGTTTTACTACCCCTCCACTTTACATGTAAACGAGCCCTAAGAGTGCCGCTGCTGGATGCAACTAAGGGCTCATTTACAAGTGCAGCAGGCACTGCTGCTCCTCTGCAAAGCGATCCAAGTGTGTTTGACAGATGGTATGGAGGCGATATGTTGCCCACTCACCACCTGATTTAAAGCCATGATTGCCATGCAATGCACACGACTGTGACAAGGTAGTATAGCAATTAGAGGTTTAAATCAGGTGTAAGGAGACGACACTGTGCCCGATGATCTTTGATGTCTCCCATGTTGTTCAGGTAGATCTCCACCTCTTAAGGGTTGCCTACCTCTGATTTAAAGGATAAGTTCACCTTTCATAATATGTTATAGGTTACACCCATATTCAGGGTATAACATGTAACAAACTGACCAGCTCCCACTCCTCCCTGCTCCCCATTGTGACAGCTAGTGGGGGATCTTCTCCTCCCCATCACAATTTTAAAAAACACTCTGCCCGCCCAGCAGCATCATTCATTCACAGTGTTCTTTGAATGAATAAACTACAAGTCCCAGCTTCTAGTCTTCAATGAAGTTCACTGTTTCTTCCTGTCAGTATCAGCTTGCCGGTACATCCCATACAGGCAAGCAGATATACTGACAGGTCTGCAGGAAACCTGCATGGCACCAGTGATCTTGTCCAATGCTTTATAGGCTCCAAAAAAAAAAAATAAGGTGCACTTATCCTTTAAATCAGATTTAAATCTGCTGTACTTCAATTTTCATAATGAGGATGGCTAAATTTGATCTACATAGTTCCATTTTAGGCGAGACCCTAGCCACCCTCCTCTGCTTGCTCTTGAGATGGACTAAAGTATTACATGCTGCAATGAACTTCCCTTTAAAGAAATCCCAATCATAAAACGGGGATGCATAGGCAGTACACAAGGCAGGTGCATTGTTTCAAGGGATTTGGACTTTGCAGTACATGTGACCACAATATACTAGTAGTGCAGGATGAAAGCCTGTATTACCCTTCTGCCTAAGTCCTGAGTAGAAATATAGGCACGACTTTTTACATTTTGGATAAAGTAAGGGGGGCGCAAGTTATGCACCAGTGTCAGGTTCCCGATACCTGGATATCTGCGCATTGCAAAAGCATGCGTGCAGGTTCGCGCACTGGTGTGCGCGCCCACTACTGGACTGGCGCCAGGCGGGCTATTTAAACTGATGCTGCACTAGGAGACACTGCCTTCTGGTCTTTCCCCTCCCCTCATCTGCTATTGTGTGAATCCTGATTCTGTTGCGACCTGACCTGCCCTGACCTCGTTTGAACTCCGCCTACACCGACCCAGTTTGACTCTGAATACTCTCTGCCTGCTCCTTGTACCTGATCCGCCTGATAGTTATCAACCCGGCTTGTCTGACTCTGCTTCCTTCCTCATCCTGTGCCTTGTTATCTGCAGTACCGCCAAACCCTGCCAGCCGCTGCTCCCGCTAACCTGCATCTTCCACTGACCTGCATCTGCAGCCCACCTGCATCCTGGTCGCTCCAACTACCCACCTGTCAGCTGACAGCGCAGACATACCCAGCACTCATGCTACTCCTGGCTCTCGTGTTCCCTGTCTACTCTATCAGTTGCACTGAGCAGGATCCGCAAGAGGACGCCCTCATCTCCAAGTCAGGCTCCCAACCAGGTATGTGACACCATCTGTGTCCCATTTGGAAGATTTCCCTTCACTTCCTGTCCCTTTGACAAATTGGAAGTGAGAGGAAATCTCTGCAAATTAAGGGAATTCCTTGGGTTCCCCCAGGTTTCCAGAACTAGCGTCCCCATTGGAAAATTTCCCCTCTATTACTTTTCAAAGGACAACCCAAAATTTGGGGTTTCCTTTACATTCACTTTCAATGATAATAGTAAACAGGACAAAGAGAAGGGGGCTCTCCCTAAAGGGGCACAGACAGGAAAAAAACTGGCAGGGGCTCTAATCCCTCTCCACTGTATCCAAAGCAAAAAACAAGTTTTGCCTTTTGTATACTTTAACGTCAGAGAAGGTCAACTTACTACTGCTTAATTTAAAGCGTGGCCCAGAGGTTGCTGGGCTAGATTGTTACAGCCTTTCCTGCCAGTGAAGTTCCAGGAAACAGGGGCGGACTGACAACTCATGGGGCCCCCGGGCAATAGGGGGATCATGGGTCCCCTGTGTCCTTGCCCAAACTCAAAAAAGCCTATGAAAAAGGTACCAGAGGCATCTCATGGGGCCCCCTACTGACCCCAGGCCCAAGAGCAGTGCCTGAGTTTCCAAATGGTCAGTCCGCCCCTGCCAGGAAGTGTACCGTTTGATGTACTATGACAAGTACAAAGCAGAAATCCGGTCTGGAGAGAGCTGGGAAAAGAGAGGAGGTATCATCTGGGTGGTGGAGCTGAAGTGAAAAGGTGCTTCATCATCCCCACGAAGATGACTGGGATGTTTAAGAGCCTGTGACGCCTCGAAGGGTGTCTATGGTTTTCATCCGGAGGCTGCGTGGGGAAATACACCCAGGGATATGCTAAAGGAACTGGAAAGATTGTTGCTAAACAAAAATATGAAAGAAGTTGTTTTTGAGTTAAATACCGGTGAAGTGGCAAGAGATCCGCTTCCAAGAGAGACTTGCTTCTGTATAGTACCCGGTATAGTGAGGAAACACGAGTTATTGTGGAACCCAGAGTGAGATTGAGGACTGATATGGACCTGTCTTCATGCAGTCTTATGTGTAGCAGGGAGACCAGTGGGTAAAACTGAATACAATGTGTTACTTGCTAATGAGTTTTAAAATGCTGGGGTAAATAATTGGTTAATGCAACCTGCTAAGGCTGAAAATAAAGAATATTATGAAGTTAATGAAGCGTCATTAGTGCATGGCGGAGAAAATGTGGTATTGCAACTAGCTATGTCAGGGGTGACCACGAGGTATGTGTGCCATTGCCCCTAGCACCTATGATAGGTGCAACAAAGGTGTCCCTGGAGACCTCATAGGAGTTCACAATCTCAGCTTGAGATTTACCAGGACAACTGTGTAGCTGCCCTGACTGGCAAGTGTGGTTCTTAGAAACTGAAAAGTGAAGTATTGAATGTTCCACAGGCTCAAGCTGTTGATGAGCTAATGAGTTATGATTAAGTACAAGACTGTGGGAAACACGTTAACAGGTCCTGTATTCATGTCCTGGTGTTCTGTGTGTCTTATGGATCAAAAAATATACACTATATTCATCAATCCTCCAGTGTGCGGCTGACCCTTCTTCCTGTTGCATGGTGATGAGCTAAGACAGCCTATACCAGTGATGGCGAACCTTTTTGAGCCCGAGTGCCCAAACTGCAACACAAAACCAACTTTTTTATTTCAAAGTGCCAACACTGGAATTAATCACTTGCCTACTAGGCACTTCTACCCCCTTCCTGCCCAGGATAATTTTCAGCTTTCAGTGCTGATGCACTTAACAATGACAATTGTGCGGTTATGCAACACTGTAACCATATGCAATTTTTATCATTTTTTCACACAAATAGAGCTTTTTTTGGTGGTTTTTAATCACCACTGGGTGTTTTATTTTTTGCACTATAAATGAAAAAAGAGCAAAAAAATTAAAAACATAAAAGGTTTCCTTTGCTTCTATTCTAAAATTTTGCAAACAGGTAAGATTTCTTCTTTGATGTGCGTTGGTGAGGCTGCACTGATAGGCAGCACTGATGGGCATTGATGAGGCGGCACAGATAGGTAGCACTGATGAGGCGGCACTGGTGAGCATTGATGAGGAGGGCATGATGATGCACTGATATGCAGGAAATGATGGGCACTGATAAGCGGCACTGACTGATAGCACCAACTGGAGGCACTGACAGACGGCACTGACCGGCGGTACTGCTGGGCATCATTGATGGGTGGCACTGATGGGCAGCACTAATGAGGTGTCACAGGTGGCACTGATATGTGGCACTGATTGGTGGCGACACTGATAATGGGTACTGATAGACAGCACTGATAGGTGGCACTGACTGACATCACTGCTGGGCACTGACTGGCACAACTGCTGGGCACTGACTGGTGGCACTGACTGGCAGCACTGCTGGGCTGCACTGATGGGCACTGGTGGGCACAGGTGGGTGGCACTGGTGGGCACAGGTGGGTGGCACTACTGGGCACAGGTAGGTGGCACTTCTGGGCACAGTTGGGCAGCACAGGTGGGTGCATTGCTGGGCACAGGTGGGCGCACTGCTGGGCACAGGTGGGTGCATTGCTGGGCACAGGTGGGCGGAACTTGTGTGTGGCACTGCTGGGCACCGATCATCAGGGCACTGATGATCAGTGACCCTGATGATCGGTGCCGTTCCCTGCTCTGACAACTGCCGGTTTTTGGCAGTACTTTCCTCACAATCTGACAGCGTGAGGAAAGTGCAGCCGAGAACCGCCATTTGCATTTCCCGGTGATCAGCGTGTCATTGGACATGGCTGATCACGTGGTAAAAGGCCGCTGTGATTGGCCTTTTACCACGTCACGTGATCAGCTGTGTCCGTAGGACACAGCGATCACGGAGATCGCCCGGTGCGCACCCCCGGGGGTTCGCAGGAGAGCGCATTCTTCCTCTTCTTCCTGGCATGCCCACTTAGATGGCTCTGCGTGCCAGCTCTGGCACACGTGCCATAGGTTCACCATCACTGGCCTATACTGTAAAAGACAGGAATGGTGATGATGAGAAATGTTTATGATGAAGGTTTGATATCTCCCAAGCAGGGGCGGACTGACCATTAGGAAACTCGGGCACTGCCCGAGGGGCCGGGGTCAGTAGGGGGCCCCATGGGACGCCCCTGGTACCTTTTTCATAGGCTTTTTTGAGTTTGGGCAAGGACACAGGGGCCCCATGATCCCCTATTGCCCGGGGGCCCCATGAGTTGTCAGTCCGACCCTGCTCCCAAGGCAACAATGGGTAGTGCTGCAGAATTGTCTGAAATTACACAAGGACTCCCGGGGTTTGAGCCTGTGGTCGTCACGGGCAGCTCTGATACTGTGCTGGTGGACCAGAAGGGGGAGTTGGTTCAAATGGTAGAACCTGTATTGTCACAGTCTGTCACAACTGCCAAATGTAATGTGTCAGATGCTGTTGAGCCCTTTGGTCTGTCTGTGTCTCCTTGGGCAGATACAGGGCTGCAAACCACCAGCAAATGGAGCACGGACTGGAATGAGTGGCACAAGGGAGTACTTGCATTTTTGGACAGTGTATCCGTGGGTAATGTAGAAGTGGACACTATTGCTGCTGTGTCAGGAGAAGGGTCTGCAGAGCAGTTGGTACTGAAGGGCACGTTGGCTGCTGCAGAAGTTACCGCTCTCATGACAGAAGGGCTGAGTGATCAAGAATGCAGAGCAGCAGTTTTGCCCACAACACATAAAGAAAGTGATGATATAGTAATGACAGACATTCTGAAAGAAATTCTAGAGAATATACAGCCAGTCGGGCGGACTGACCATTTGGAGACTCGGGCACTGCCCGAGGGCCCGGGGTCAGTAGGGGGCCCCATGAGATGCCCCTGGTACCTTTTTCATAGGCTTTTTTGAGTTTGGGCAAGGACACAGGGGCCCCATGATCCCCTATTGCCCAGGGGCCCCATGAGTTGTCAGTCCGCCCCTGCAGCCAGTGTATATCTTTCTGTCTCTTTGGTCACGGGAACTGGTATCATGGGGTACTGCTAATTGGTGCTGGATGTTACAGGCTGTACTAGATAGGGATAGCCAAATTGGAGTTATAAGATACAATGTCTTGTGATAATGCTGAAAGTTGTCTCACAGTGTGCTGGATTGCTTCATACTGGTGTTATGTGTGAGAAGCACTCTGGAGCACTGTTGGACAGATCAGAAGTATGGGTTAAAATACCTGAGGACACAGAAATAGTTAAAGAGATTGGTGTAACTGATCTGAACAAAGGTTGTGTTGAAAAAAGTTTTTTGGTAGAACAGTCGCGTATGGAATGTTGGACAACAGGATGCGATGTGAAACTTTGGGTCCCTGTAGGTGGCCCTTCCTCAGACGCTGTCCTAGCAAACAATGGGACAAGAGTTTTGGGTGACATTAACAAAAATGAGCTGCGTAACATTACGGAATGTTGCTACTGATGTTAATCAGAAAAATGTGGTTTGGCTGCCAAGGGTAACCGCACCTGAAAAACAGAGTTTGGTGGTTGAGTTTGATACTGGTAAGGAGAGGGGTTGTTCCCTGACAGATGCCAAGGGAGTAGAACCTCTACAGTCCTGGGAAAGTAACTTTGGGGGAGGTAAAAAGAAACCCAGATCACCAAGGCTTAGGAAGAAGTGTAAAAAGAGGTGGGTAGATTTCCCCTTTAGAAAAACATAGCATTAGACAGGTTAAGACCCTTTTTGGTGACAGTTGCACAGAGGTGAATTGGTGCCTGGGCGAGGCCACGCCACTGTGTGATTAGGCAGTTTAGGCCAGATTTTGAAGGAAAAAAGCACATTAAAGCAGAGTTCCACCTAACAAAAAATGAATAAAAGTCAGCAGCTACAAAAACTTAAAATACAGCCACTTATCTGTCCCTCGGTCCACTTTGTGATTGGCTCCATAGTCTTCTGTGACCTGTCACATGTCCCAGAAGACTACAGGGAGGGAGGGGGGGAGGACAACTTTCGCTCCTTAATGGGGTGCGGAGGACAAAGGCTTAAAGCGGAACTTCCAATTTTGGATGGAGCTCTGCTTTAATGAGCAAGGTTTGTGCTTCCTTCATATTGGAGCTGGGATCAGAGCTCAGGGCCCCATCCTCCCAAGAGGGTCAATGATTGCAAGAGAACCGTGAGAGAGGTGCTTGCCTGCACAACTTATTCAGGTCAGGACAGTTTGAGGCATACGCCTCTGAGTATAAGAGACAGTCTGTGAATATATATATATATCTGTGTGCTACTTAAAAATTAAAGGAAAACTTTAATCAAGTCAGTTAAACCTGGGATATTGATCTGGTCAGTTAAGTAGCAGAGGGGGTTATTAGTCAGTGTCAGCTGCTTTGGTGTTAATGAAATTAACAACAGGTGCACTAGATGGGCAACAATGAGATGACCCCCAAAACAGGAATGGTTTTACAGGTGGAGTCCACTGAATTTTTATTCCCTACTCATCTTTTCTGACTGTTTTTCACTAGTTTTGCATTTGGCTAGTGTCAGTGTCACTACTGGTAGCATGAGGCGATACCTGGACCCTACAGAAGTTTCACAGGCAGTCCAACTCCTCCAGGATGGCACATTAATACGTGCCATTGCAAGAAGGTTTGTTGTGTCTCCCATCACAGTCTCAAGAACATGGAGGAGATTCCAGGAGACAGGCAGTTACTCTAGGAGAGCTGGACAGGGCTGTAGAAGGTCCTTAACCCATCAGCAGGACCGGTATCTGCTCCTTTGTGCAAGGAGGAACAGGATGAGCACTGACCTACAAAATGACCTCCAGCAGGCCACTGGTATGAATGTCTCTGACCAAACAATCAGAAACAGACTTCATGAGGGTGGCCTGAGGTCCTGAAGTCCTCTACTGGGCCCTGTGCTCACTACCCAACACCATAGAGCTTGATTGGCATTTGCCATTGAACACTAGAATTGTCAGGTCCACCACTGGTGTCGTGTGCATTTCACAGATGAGAGCAGGTTCACCCTGAGCACATTTAACAGACGTGAAAGGGTCTGAAGAAGCTGTGGAGAACGTTATGCTACCTATAACATGACCGTTTTGGTGGTGGGTCAGTGATGGTCTGGGGAGGCATATCCATGGAGGGACGCACACACCTCTACAGGCTAGACAATGGCACCATGACTGCCATTAGGTATTGAGATTAAATCTCTGGACCCATTGTGAGACCCTACGCTGTTGCAGTGGGTCCTGGGTTCCTCCTGGTGCACAACAATGCCCCACCTCATGTGGCGAGAGTCAGTGGTGTATTTTGGTTTTGTGCTGCCCTAGGCAAGACTAAAATCGGACACCCCCCCCCCCCCGGCATCTAAATTTGTCCTACCCTTTCACCTGCAAACTCCACCCCTTCCTCTTAGGCTCCACCTCTTCCTATTAGAGCTCCACCCACTGACAATGATGTGCTGCTATTCCTCCCACTGACACCAATGATGTGGCACGATTCCTCACACTGACACCAATGATGGTGCCCCATCATTGGTGTCAGTGGGAGGAATAGTGTCCCATCATTGGTGTCATTAGGAGGAATAGTGCCCCATCATTGGTGTCAGTGGGAGGAATAGTGTCCCATCATTGGCGTCAGTGGGGGGGGGGATAGTGCCCCATCATTAGTGTCAGCGGGTGGAGGAATAATGTCCTATCATTGGTGTCAGTGGGGGGAGGAATCATGTCCCATCATTGGTGTCAGTGGGAGAAATAGTGTTCCATCATTGGTGTCAGTGGGAGGAATAGTGTCCCATCATTGGTGTAAGTGGGGGTGAGGAATAGTGCCCCATCATTGGTGTTAGTGGGGGGAGGAATAGTGCCCCATCATTGGTGTCAGTGGGGGGAGGAATAGTGCCCCATCATTGGTGTGAGTGGGAGGGATAGTGTCCCATCATTGGCGTCAGTGGGGGGGGGGATAGTGCCCCATCATTAGTGTCAGCGGGTGGAGGAATAATGTCCTATCATTGGTGTCAGTGGGGGGAGGAATCATGTCCCATCATTGGTGTCAGTGGGAGAAATAGTGTTCCATCATTGGTGTCAGTGGGAGGAATAGTGTCCCATCATTGGTGTAAGTGGGGGTGAGGAATAGTGCCCCATCATTGGTGTTAGTGGGGGGAGGAATAGTGCCCCATCATTGGTGTCAGTGGGGGGAGGAATAGTGCCCCATCATTGGTGTGAGTGGGAGGGATAGTGCCCCATCATTGGTGTCAGTGGGAGAAATAGTGCCCCATCATTGGTGTCAGTGGGAGAAATAGTGCCCCATCATTGGTGTCAGTGGGGGGAGGATTAGTGCCCCATCATTGGTGTCAGTGGGGGGAGGAATAGTGCCCTATCATTGGTGTCAGTGGGAGGAATAGTGCCCCATCATTAGTGTCAGTGGGAAGAATAGTGCCCCATCATTGGTGTGAGTGGGAGGAATAGTGCCCCATCATTAGTGTCAGTGGGAGGAATAGTGCCCCATCATTAATGTCAGTGGGAAGAATCGTGTGCCATCATTGGTGTCAGTGGGAGGAATCGTGCCCTATCATTGGTGTCAGTGGGAGGAATCTTGCCCCATCATTGGTGTCAGTGGGGGGGGAAGTGCCCCATGACTGGTGTCAGTGGGAGGAATAGTGCTTCATCATTGGTGTCAGTGGGAGGAATAGTGCCCCATCATTAGTGTCAATGGGAAGAATCATGCCCCATCATTGGTGACAGTGGGAGGAATCGTGCCCCATCATTGGTGTCAGTGGGAAGAATCGTGCCCCATCATTGGT